TGCACCCGAAGAACACCGTGAAGAGCGTGGCCGCTGAACAAATTATACGTGCCTGTCAAAATTATTGGGGGGCCCCAGCTCCCCTCCCCTCCCCCGGTCCCTCCCTATGCTAGGGCACTGCTCATTCCGGTGTCACTACGTCAAAATCGAATCTTTCCCTCGTGCATAACTTATGGCTACTTTTCACATTTCAAATTACTTTGCGTCGCAGTGGCGCAATTGACTAATCCCTCAATTGAGAGTCTGATATGACGGGTCACACGAAAGCCGGTTCAAACCTTTATTTCTTCCAGAAGTAATACTTTCTGATAATTATTTCTTTCCCCTAAAAGAAAAAAAATCAAATTAGAACACGAAGATACCTCGAACTAATTCCGAAGCAACTTCGGGACATTCGGAAGCAACTTTGGAACATTCTTGAGCTGCGCGATTCCTTCGCGCTCCGCCGAAGTAATAATGATCGAGTTTTAGAGTCTAAGTTGATCATGAGTTAGAGTTGAGCTTGAGTTAAGTTTGAGTTAAGATTGAGTTAGGTTTGAGTTACCGTTTTTAGCGTTTATTTTATGTTAGTCTTTTATTTTTACACTCTGTGAATGAAAATGATGGCAAAGATTATCGGCGTTCAATTATTTTTCAATTTAACAAAATGGAAAGGGTGTAGACAGTCACACCTCCCTTCCCCTGCCTTGGAATCCTAAGACGCCAGGAACAGGCTATTACTAATGTGTGAACACAATTTTTTAATACTCCAAGAACGTATGACTAGTACCACCGCTTAGTTCCTGTTATCATTTTCCTCGATTTTACCAAGAAGATCAAAAGACTTCCGCAGAGGCTACATTTCCTATGGTTTCAACAATAAATTCTGAAGAAGGCTGGAGTATCCGTAACAAAAGACCCTGACCTGTGTGTGTACAGCTATTTCGAGAAAGGTTGGCGGAAAAATGTGCACGCGACAATCCCGAAATGCAATATGGGATATGATCAATACACTGTTCCTGACACTGTAGCTGTCGAACCTACTTTTGTTGCTTTCCTTTAGCACTCACAAACATACGTCCATGGCCTCTCGTGTCATTTTTTTTGCCATAAAGTCTCAAATGTAACCTGCGTGCTCCATTTGTCCTTTAAATGAAACAAAAAAAAAAAAAAAAAAAAAAAAAAAAACCAGCGCGATCCACACGGGCTATCTCAAATAAAACTTTAATAATAGAAAATAAGAGGGTCAGATTATCCAGGTCGTTTCACTTCAAAATTCAAGAAAATGAAATAGACTACTCTGGTCACCTAAATTCTTAATGCCACTTCTTTACTTTATCCGCGTACTTTATTTCTTTAACGATAACATTTTTTTTTAATCTAGACAGCTATAAATCGTACCTTGCCTTGGCCGAGAGAACGCACGAATAATCAAAGAGTCATGATTTGGCTGTTTATATTCCCCTATTTTTCTATTGTCGAAATTGAGCGCCCGTTATATATATTACATATAGTTAGTTGTATTAAGTGCTCTATCTCTACGATCGTACGGGAAATATTTATAGGGGGACCTAACTGTAGCAAGTTATACTAACCGCCTGAAAAATATCAAGTGAACAATGATAAATTGATACTCTAGCATTAAGTGAAGCTGGCGTGATCGAAAAAGCCGAGTTTCGCTGGGAGTCTAAGAGTACATGGGAGTTGGGTCTCCTTCGTTTTGAGGAGAATGCCAACACACTATCTTATATGACACTATATCGGGATAACCAGTGCTTCGATCTATATACGGATCGGGAGTCCATGCTACAATTGGGTGTCTGTAAAACCGGGAACAGGCTCGGAACACCCCCGGAACACCCTAAGCCCTAAGGCTGGAGCCTACATATCCCAGGACACCCCGGAACACCCCCCCCCCCCCC